TTCATGAGAAACCTCTTTTTAGTTTTGATTTTACTGAATATTAAGTCACGTGCTGGTGGATTTTTAAGATGGATGAACAGTGTTGGTGAGAACAATGCAACTAAAATGAGTGGTACACCACAGTGCTCGTATTGCACGGCTAGTTTTCGTTTTAATGCATCAATGCATTTTGTCACACAGACCTGATTTTATGCTTAGTGTGTAATTGTCAGAGCATATTAGCTGTTGACTCTCATTGTAGCAGTAGAACTAATCACAAGTTAAAGGATTTTGTATTTAGAGTTTTCTAAATGCACATGAAATGAATTTATATTCAGTAATGATCTGTTCTTTTTTTTTTTTTTTTTGATAGAAATGTGCATGTGTTTTAGAACAAATTCTGTTACAATATATCTTTCTTCATATGATACTTTGAAATTGGCCTAAAATAAAGTATATACTTTGTGGTAATATTTCCCTGTGTCATATTTTGTTTTTTATCGTTTGTTTTAAGCATGAATTCTAATTGTATTGTACAGCAAACATTTTTCTAAAATGTTTGGTTTCAAAATAATTATTAAAGGCTCTAATTGTTAGCCCTCTAGTGGTGGAACTGTGGAACTGTTGAGAAGCGATACATCCGGTGAATGTCAAAATAAAAGTCATTGTTCATACCAGTTTAGCACCGGACTATGCAGGACCGGCTTCATTTTCGATAGGGACAGTGAAGACTGACAGAAAAGCGGAGGAAGAAGAGGGAAAGGCATGCGTCACAGGTCACGTCACGCAAACTAAACAGCGCGTTAAACCGACGCCCACCTAAAGGTTTTTGAAACTTTCAGCCTCAAATTAAAAGCCTTGGAATTGAAAGGTTAACTTGAACAGAAGGATATGTTGATTCCCTCTTGTGTTCACAGTAGGTAACTACAACAAACACCATCAACCTCAAAACACGACAGAGCCCTGACTGCCCACGTTTAGCTCCGCCTCCAGCGGCATTATGCTGTCAGGGGTATTTGGGGGGAAAACACTAGCATTGTTACCAGGTTTAAATAAATGCTCTTATTTAAGTAACCAAATTTCCCCTTGTGGGACAATTATAGGATCATTCTATTCTATTCTATTCTTATGCTGATATGTTGTTGAACCTGTGTACTGCACACATCTGTTTTCTATATTTTATTGTATTTATAAATGTCTATGTATGAAATTTTATGCAAAGATTTATAATTTTATTTTTATTATTTTATTGTATTTTTTTCACCAAATTAATAGTTTAGCTACTGAAACTCTGGAAAGATAACTCTGAAAATAGCAAGACAATGGCAAAAACAACAACAACAACAAAAATCAAAAACAAAGAATAGACTGGACCCAAAACATTAAAATATAAAGAACACAAACAATTCCTCCTAGGGAATTTGAATTAACTTTTCATTGTTGATGGTCACACGTCTTTCAAAGCAATCGGTAAAGTATACTTGGCTTACCTGACCGAGAGGCTGTGCCAGATACTGAACAGGACAGTTACATGCCAGTGCATTATCGTATCATAATACATCCAATTTGGGTCTTACATCAGGCCAAAGAGTTTAGATTAATGCATGAACCTTACACTACCTCCAATGCAAAACATCTACGTAAACTCAAAAAAACCCCAAAATCATATGACCCCCTTGGGGGCAGTGAGAAGGAAAAACTCTCTTTTAACAGGAAGAAACTTCCGGCAGCACCAGGCTCAGAAAGGGGTGGTCATCTGCCGCAACCGGTTGGGGTGAGACTTACTTTCTGTAAGTTGTTCATTTTGAAACATTTTTTAATCATTATAATTGTTTGTGCCTTTACTTCAGACAAGACATACTGTAAACAAATTTCCAGGCTGCTCGTTTTATTTTTTAATCATGAGCGTTATTAGCTAAAATACATAACCAATATAATATCTGTTTTGTAGGGTTCAATGACATTTTGTGCAAATCATCATTACATAACAATATTACAGTCCCTCAGCAACACTCATCCGCAGGTGTAATTATCTAGAATAATGGTTGTTTCAGTTCAGGCAGTGCTGAACATTTTGTTTTAAAAGCTGATGTTTGGGGGGGAAAAATCATACAGCAATCATCACTCGCTTTCTTTTCAGTATCGCACACTTTCGCCTCACTTCTCTCAGTGTGGTACTGAGACACCCTAATAAAAAATAGTCCAGAGTAGAAGGACTATGTGTATGTATGCAGTATTTTTTCTTTCACTCTTAGATAGGATGTTCCTAATTTTGACAATTCTTAAGATGAAAGAAGGCTGTCCTCGTTTGATTTATATATGACTTCCAGAATATCTTGTCTGTTTTGGGGACAAAATGAATATGCATAATACAATTTTTGTCAGCCTGAAGAAAACAGTTTAGGTTTTGTTTGTGTGTTTGATTTTGTTTCTTTGGTATTCATTCACTCTGCTGACTTGTTTCCATCCAACTTTCACTTTTGCTTTTACTTGCTGGTTAGCTTTAGGTACCAAAAGCTGCATGGACAGATTTGGGGTAGTTACAAACAAAGAAAAAGCTTCATTAGTGCCTTAAATATTTTAAGGCACTAAAAAGTATTTTGTTAAGTTTAAGCACTGTACACTACTTGTTTATTTTTATGAAAAGGTTGCCATTTGGGTTAAAGTGTGTCATTTCAACACACTAACCCTGTAAAGTGGGACATAACATCAAAGCATCCTTTAATTAAGAGTATCTACATGCGCTGATTTGGAAGTATGAGATGTAGTAAACCAAACGATTCATTATTAAATAAAGTCAACAAAAGCACAACTTGAGTCAAATAAATTTTATTAATTACATGTAATATAATGTCTACTTACTATTCCAATAATTATTAAATATAACATGAAAAAAAAAATAATGGTTACATAATTTAAACTGTAACTACCACAGATGAAACAGTTTGAACAAGAAGGAAGTAAAGGGGGAAAAATGCTTTTGCAAGCTTGCTTGTGTCTGGCAGCAAAACACTGGAAAGCTCATACCACGTGATGCTAGACTTTGAAACACAAACCAGGATGAAAAGGAAAATAATGGCAATATTTTCTTTTCACAGTGTGAATTTTGTACTTTACTCTATAGGACAGCACAGAGCACAGACCACAAAAACAGTGACTGCATAGAAAAGCAATTTCTTGGCCAATACACCAGGAAGAAATACGCAGAGTACATAGAACACAATTGATTTTCACAGTAAATACAATACAAAGCAATTCAGTATATCTGGGTAATAATAAGTCTATAAAAGTCCATTTTAATATTACTTACAAATGTAATCCTTTACACCTTACATACCTCTACAAGCTCTGAGCTGTGGGTCCATTTTTAGTCATTTGTGACCCAAATTCACGAGTGGCTACCAAGAATCTCATCCAAATTGATATCTTTCATCCAGTCATCATTTCCAGAGCCCGATTTGAGCAGGGAATCTATGAAGTCTGAGTCTGCATTGATTCCCGGAACTGTGTTGTCCCCCTCTGGGAGGAAGTCAAAGGTCAGACGGTTAGTTCTGTTATTATGGTAGCTGC